GAGGTGGTAGTGGAAGTAGATGTGGAAGTAGAGGTACTGGTGGAGGTAGATGTGGAAGTAGAGGTGCTAGTGGAGGTGGATGTGGAAGTAGAGGTGGTAGTGGAGGTGGATGTGGAAGTAGAGGTGCTAGTGGAGGTGGATGTGGAAGTAGAGGTGGTAGTGGAGGTAGATGTGGAAGTAGTGGTGCTAGTGGAGGTAGATGTGGAAGTAGAGGTGGTAGTGGAGGTAGAGGTGGTAGTGGAGGTGGATGTGGAAGTAGAGGTAGATGTGGAAGTAGAGGTGGTAGTGGAGGTAGATGTGGAAGTAGAGGTAGATGTGGAAGTAGAGGTACTAGTGGAGGTAGATGTGGAAGTAGAGGTACTAGTGGAGGTAGATGTGGAAGTAGAGGTGCTAGTGGAGGTAGATGTGGAAGTAGAGGTGCTAGTGGAGGTAGATGTGGAAGTAGAGGTGCTAGTGGAGGTAGATGTGGAAGTAGAGGTGGTAGTGGAGGTAGATGTGGAAGTAGAGGTGGTAGTGGAGGTAGATGTGGAAGTAGAAGTGGTAGTGGAGGTAGATGTGGAAGTAGAAGTGGTAGTGGAGGTAGATGTGGAAGTAGAAGTGGTAGTGGAGGTAGATGTGGAAGTAGTGGTGCTAGTGGAGGTAGAGGTGGTAGTGGAGGTAGATATGGAAGTAGAGGTGGTAGTGGAGGTAGATGTGGAAGTAGAGGTGGTAGTGGAGGTAGATGTGGAAGTAGAGGTGGTAGTGGAGGTAGATGTGGAAGTAGAGGAGGTAGTGGAGGTGGATGTGGAAGTAGAGGTGCTAGTGGAGGTAGATGTAGAGGTAGATGTGGAAGTAGAGGTGCTAGTAGAGGTAGATGTGGACGTAGACGTGCTAGTGGAGGTAGATGTGGAAGTAGAGGTGCTGGTGGAGGTAGATGTGGAAGTAGAGGTGCTAGTGGAGGTAGATGTGGAAGTAGAGGTACTAGTGGAGGTAGATGTGGAAGTAGAGGTGGTAGTGGAGGTAGATGTGGAAGTAGAGGTACTAGTGGAGGTAGATGTGGAAGTAGAGGTACTAGTGGAGGTAGATGTGGAAGTAGAGGTGGTAGTGGAGGTAGATGTGGAAGTAGAGGTACTAGTGGAGGTAGATGTGGAAGTAGAGGTACTAGTGGAGGTAGAGGTACTAGTGGAGGTAGATGTGGAAGTAGAGGTAGATGTGGAAGTAGAGGTACTAGTGGAGGTAGATGTGGAAGTAGAGGTACTAGTGGAGGTAGATGTGGAAGTAGAGGTACTGGTGGAGGTAGATGTGGAAGTAGAGGTGCTAGTGGTGGTAGATGTGGAAGTAGAGGTGCTAGTGGAGGTAGATGTGGAAGTAGAGGTACTAGTGGAGGTAGATGTGGAAGTAGAGGTACTAGTGGAGGTAGATGTGGAAGTAGAGGTGCTAGTGGAGGTAGATGTGGAAGTAGAGGTGCTAGTGGTGGTAGATGTGGAAGTAGAGGTGCTAGTGGAGGTTGATGTGGAAGTAGAAGTGCTGGTGGAGGTAGATGTGGAAGTAGAGGTGGTAGTGGTGGTAGATGTGGAAGTAGAGGTGCTAGTGGAGGTTGATGTGGAAGTAGAAGTGCTGGTGGAGGTAGATGTGGAAGTAGAGGTGGTAGTGGTGGTAGATGTGGAAGTAGAGGTGCTAGTGGTGGTAGATGTGGAAGTAGAGGTGGTAGTGGTGGTAGATGTGGAAGTAGAGGTACTGGTGGAGGTAGATGTGGAAGTAGAGGTGCTAGTGGAGGTAGATGTGGAAGTAGAGGTACTGGTGGATGTAGATGTGGAAGTAGAGGTACTGGTGGAGGTAGATGTGGAAGTAGAGGTGCTAGTGGTAGTAGATGTGGAAGTAGAGGTGGTAGTGGAAGTAGATGTGGAAGTAGAGCTGCTAGTGGAGGTAGAGGTAGATGTGGAAGTAGATGTGGAAGTAGAGGTACTAGTGGAGGTAGATGTGGAAGTAGAGGTGCTAGTGGAGGTAGATGTGGAAGTAGAAGTGCTGGTGGAGGTAGATGTGGAAGTAGAGGTGCTAGTGGAGGTAGATGTGGAAGTAGAAGTGCTGGTGGAGGTAGATGTGGAAGTAGAGGTACTGGTGGATGTAGATGTGGAAGTAGAGGTACTGGTGGAGGTAGATGTGGAAGTAGAGGTACTGGTGGATGTAGATGTGGAAGTAGAGGTACTGGTGGAGGTAGATGTGGAAGTAGAGGTGCTAGTGGTAGTAGATGTGGAAGTAGAGGTACTAGTGGAGGTAGATGTGGAAGTAGAGGTGCTAGTGGTGGTAGATGTGGAAGTAGAGGTACTAGTGGAGGTAGATGTGGAAGTAGAGGTACTGGTGGAGGTAGATGTGGAAGTAGAGGTGGTAGTGGAAGTAGATGTGGAAGTAGAGGTACTAGTGGAAGTAGATGTGGAAGTAGAGGTACTAGTGGAAGTAGATGTGGAAGTAGAGGTACTAGTGGAGGTAGATGTGGAAGTAGAGGTGGTAGTGGAGGTAGATGTGGAAGTAGAGGTACTAGTGGAAGTAGATGTGGAAGTAGAGGTACTAGTGGAGGTAGATGTGGAAGTAGAGGTGGTAGTGGAGGTAGATGTGGAAGTAGAGGTACTAGTGGAAGTAGATGTGGAAGTAGAGGTGCTAGTGGAGGTAGATGTGGAAGTAGAGGTGGTAGTGGAGGTAGATGTGGAAGTAGAGGTGGTAGTGGAGGTAGATGTGGAAGTAGAGGTGGTAGTAGTGGTAGATGTGGAAGTAGATGTAGATGTGGACGTAGAGGTAGATGTGGAAGTAGAGGTACTGGTGGAGGTAGATGTGGAAGTAGAGGTACTAGTGGAGGTAGATGTGGAAGTAGAGGTGGTAGTGGAGGTAGATGTGGAAGTAGAGGTACTAGTGGAAGTAGATGTGGAAGTAGAGGTGGTAGTAGTGGTAGATGTGGAAGTAGATGTAGATGTGGACGTAGAGGTAGATGTGGAAGTAGAGGTACTGGTGGAGGTAGATGTGGAAGTAGAGGTGATAGTGGAGGTAGATGTTGAAGTAGAGGTGGTAGTAGTGGTAGATGTGGAAGTAGAGGTAGATGTGGACGTAGAGGTAGATGTGGAAGTAGAGGTACTGGTGGAGGTAGATGTTGAAGTAGAGGTGCTAGTGGAGGTTGATGTGGAAGTAGAGGTGCTGGTGGAGGTAGATGTGGAAGTAGAGGTGCTAGTGGTGGTAGATGTGGAAGTAGAGGTGCTAGTGGTGGTAGATGTGGAAGTAGAGGTACTGGTGGAGGTAGATGTGGAAGTAGAGGTGCTAGTGGAGGTAGATGTGGAAGTAGAGGTACTGGTGGAGGTAGATGTGGAAGTAGAGGTACTGGTGGAGGTTGATGTGGAAGTAGAGGTGCTGGTGGAGGTAGATGTGGAAGTAGAGGTGCTAGTGGAGGTAGATGTGGAAGTAGAGGTGGTAGTAGTGGTAGATGTGGAAGTAGAGGTAGATGTGGACGTAGAGGTAGATGTGGAAGTAGAGGTACTGGTGGAGGTAGATGTGGAAGTAGAGGTGGTGGTGGTGGTAGATGTGGAAGTAGAGGTGGTGGTGGAGGTAGATGTGGAAGTAGAGGTGCTAGTGGAGGTTGATGTGGAAGTAGAAGTGCTGGTGGAGGTAGATGTGGAAGTAGAGGTGGTAGTGGTGGTAGATGTGGAAGTAGAGGTGCTAGTGGAGGTAGATGTGGAAGTAGAGGTGCTAGTGGAGGTAGATGTGGAAGTAGAGGTACTGGTGGAGGTAGATGTGGAAGTAGAGGTACTGGTGGTGGTAGATGTGGAAGTAGAGGTACTGGTGAAGGTAGATGTGGAAGTAGAGGTACTGGTTGGTGGAGGTAGATGTGGAAGTAGAGGTACTGGTGGAGGTAGATGTGGAAGTAGAGGTGCTAGTGGAGGTAGATGTGGAAGTAGAAGTGCTGGTGGAGGTAGATGTGGAAGTAGATGTACTGGTGGATGTAGATGTGGAAGTAGAGGTACTGGTGGATGTAGATGTGGAAGTAGAGGTGGTAGTAGTGGTAGATGTGGAAGTAGATGTAGATGTGGACGTAGAGGTAGATGTGGAAGTAGAGGTGGTAGTAGTGGTAGATGTGGAAGTAGAGGTGCTAGTGGAGGTAGATGTGGAAGTAGAGGTGGTAGTAGTGGTAGATGTGGAAGTAGAGGTAGATGTGGACGTAGAGGTAGATGTGGAAGTAGAGGTACTGGTGGAGGTAGATGTGGAAGTAGAGGTGGTAGTGGAGGTAGATGTTGAAGTAGAGGTGCTAGTGGAGGTTGATGTGGAAGTAGAGGTGGTAGTGGTGGTAGATGTGGAAGTAGAGGTGCTGGTGGAGGTAGATGTGGAAGTAGAGGTGCTAGTGGTGGTAGATGTGGAAGTAGAGGTGGTGGTGGTGGTAGATGTGGAAGTAGAGGTGCTAGTGGAGGTTGATGTGGAAATAGAAGTGCTGGTGGAGGTAGATGTGGAAGTAGAGGTGCTAGTGGAGGTAGATGTGGAAGTAGAGGTGCTAGTGGTGGTAGATGTGGAAGTAGAGGTGGTGGTGGATGTAGATGTGGAAGTAGAGGTACTGGTGGATGTAGATGTGGAAGTAGAGGTACTGGTGGATGTAGATGTGGAAGTAGAGGTACTGGTGGAGGTAGATGTGGAAGTAGAGGTGGTAGTGGAAGTAGATGTAGAAGTAGAGGTGCTAGTGGAGGTAGAGGTAGATGTGGAAGTAGAGGTGCTAGTGGAGGTAGATGTGGAAGTAGAAGTGCTAGTGGAGGTAGATGTGGAAGTAGAAGTGCTGGTGGAGGTAGATGTGGAAGTAGAGGTACTAGTGGAGGTAGATGTGGAAGTAGAAGTGCTGGTGGAGGTAGATGTGGAAGTAGAAGTGCTAGTGGAGGTAGATGTGGAAGTAGAGGTGCTAGTGGAGGTAGATGTGGAAGTAGAAGTGCTAGTGGAGGTAGATGTGGAAGTAGAAGTGCTAGTGGAGGTAGATGTGGAAGTAGAAGTGCTGGTGGAGG